AGCTGTAGTGTGGACAGAAGGGATCGTTACAGGTTCGGTTCCACAGAGACGTGGTTTCGCCCCATAGCAACGAAGGCTTGCCAATGTCTATTCATGTCCACGGGGGAAGATTCCTTATCTCAGCTCGAAATTCGTATCTTCCCTACAGTTCAAGAGTAAACACACCATTATAGCAACAGTTGACCATTGCCATGAACGTCTACACCCCTAATTCTGTAGTTGTCACCTTTAAAAATCTATATATTCCTCTTTAAAGTCGAAACGCTTCAATACATAAAACATTTTATGAACTACAAAACTCGTTATATGAATTTAAGCTCGGAGGTTAAAATGTAGATTGTGGTCTTGTGAGGTCCCAGAGGAATGTATCGTCTTGTCTGATAATTGAGGCAGCAGGTACCTCGGTAAATTTGAAAGGGTGGTTGTAGAAACTGTCGTCATATTTCAATTAACTAACCTGGTACTAACTTTAAGTGACTGAGTAAAACCACTAATTCCAAAGGTGTTATTGGAGCCGATCCAAGGTCATTATTACGATGTTATCCGAAGAAATTGCTACGAGCCGAGGATGGCATCGCTTCACAATGTCGTAACAGTGTGCCCCCAGACAATGTAGGAATGTGGAGCATGGCGGTAGGCTTTAGGTTTGCATACGCCACATTTTTCAAACAGGTGTGACAACGTCGTGAAAATTCGTTATGAGAATTAAAATGAACAAACCAACGATTAAAGTTTATTAAAATTAATAGTTGACCAAATCAAAGCTTATTTCCCTTTTTTTAAAAAAAATAATACCTCATTTAGATAGTCTCCTTTGTGATTTATATGTCTCGGTCCTTATTTTGGTTTGAGCAATTTTCCTCGTTTCAGAATAAATAATTTGATGACTTTTACAGTTCTTTTATATCGTGTTATAAACTCAAAATATAGAACATCTGTGGTAAAATGAAACTTATTAGATTATCAAAACAAACAAAACTGATTAAACTACACCAATATTATATTGGACAGTTTATTCTCTGAGATTTAATTGGTGTATACGACGTTTCGGGAGTTGGAAGGTTATACTAACACAAAATTATTTCAGTGTAGTGATTAACAGTCTATACTAATATTTAAAATATACTGAATATAATCCTAAATATTCAAAACTCTCAGTACGTCTGTAATAACAAATCATCTGAACAATACCGTAGACTCGACTGCCGAACCGTCGTGTATGTTCAATATACGCCATTCCGAAATCGCAGGAGGGTCGGTGTAATGCACTACCAAAACGCCCGTAACTAAGAAACAAATGCTAATTCGATAATGCCGGCTGGCACACTGATTCACTATGAATGTAGGCCGCACCCCCTAGCGGCAGAAGCTCGTACTACATCCGGTTCGCCCTCTATTGACACAGTCTTGGAACTTTCCGATCGCACCTCGTATATCGCGTACTGAATAGCAAATATGTTACCGACAATGTATAGAATGCCTAAAGTCAGTAGGCAGAGTATGGAATAAATCGTAATGTTAATATTGTTTGGTTGCGTAAATTAAAATTAATCAAAATCGATCGGGTAACCTGTCAAGATGGAGGTTGTGCAAGATAGTCGCGAAAACGGAATATAACAAACGTTTTGAGAATTAAAAACAATTGTTTTATATTAAGTTTTTGTAAATATAAAAAATAAAATAAGAAAACTTCTTTGTTATATGCTTTTCCTAAAGAATCTGAGGCATTTTTTTAAAAAATTCCTAGGTATTCTATAGAATACCAAGGCAAAGTATAAAATAAACTGTTAGTTTCATACATTGCCTAAAAGTTTTAGGTATTTTATAAAATGTCTGGGGATTCTATAGAATGCCTGAATTTTATATTTTTCCTACTGACTTTAGGCAATCTATACATTGCCGGATTTCATAGTTTACCGGTAATATATATTTCAAAAGTTATTTCTATAATGAACTAACCATTGTCACAAACATTCAGAAAATCTTGTATCGTATCGCTCATTTGTGTAATTTGAAACTACGAATGTAACAAGAATCCTTTGTGTAAGCCTGAGATTACATTCCTCTGAGGTGATTCCAAAGCTTGGAAGTAAATGTCTGATATTTCATTTTGTTATCCCGATCTAGTGCCGAGGTCAAGATTGAGTAGAACCTATACAGCCTCTCCCCCCCATGTGCCTACATGGCGTATAGTGGGACAGCTTTACTTTGCATGCTTGAACCTGGCGTCAAGATTGTTGATCGATGTATTAACGTTTCCTTCTGAATCAGTTTTGAGCCTCGGCCATAAGACTCGATGCCCCATAATTCTGAACATAATACGAGCTAATTCCCAAATTCATAATTTGTTTTTTTATATTAGTAGCAAATAGTAAAAATTATAGCCACGCTGGCCTTGTAATCCTGGGGTCTCGGGTTCGATTCCCGGCGGTGCCCGAATTTATAACTTGTGTTGGGCAAGGCCGTGGTCTAGGCAACACGGAGTTTTCCTCCGGGGGCTTCCCCGGTTTCTCCGTGGCATCCCAACAATTACTCCATTCACACACACAGAAGAAGGCAATGGCAAACCACGTCTGGATCATCTGCCAAGAACGTACATGAACAGGTCCCAGTCCGAGAAAAAGATGGAAGGATCCTGTTCATATGGACCTATCGTCAGACAGAACACTAAATAAATAATAAAAATTATGTTAGGACGTAACCATTAACCATCGAGAAACTTGTATGTTGAACATTCTTCAGACAGTGGACAATGTCCGGCATAATATTGGTATAAAATTACTTTAATTTACTCGTGAAGGCCAAATTGATGTCCCTTCTCATACCAACATTACAGCCGCTCCCCTATTCATCGCCGTCAGAGAGCTGAATGACTCGGACGAACACTGACAATGATTCCAACTGGCCGTACGAATGAATCTCAATTACATCCTATTTCATTGTGAGACTCTTGGGTCCTTGACCCATATTCAGTGACAATGATTTGGTTGTCATCTTTAGTGACAGTGCGATACACTGTATATAGCTACTCCATTGTAAACACGCTGCTTCAACATTGCACTGAACCACCGTACGAGCGCTCCGTTCAGAAAGCAATTGCTGACTGCAAGGCATTTGAAATTTGCGGGAATCTGTCAAAGACTATAAGTCTCAAAGATATGTTGCTCAACATCAGAGAGAGGATTATATACTTTGCGACAAATTAGTAGTAACTTGAATATAATTAGGGCTGAAACATACATAAAGTACGCTCCCAAAAACCACTTTACACCAAATAACTTTACTATTAATATATAGTATTTAAAATTGGGTGAAATTTTCAGAAGTAGCTTTTGAATAAATCGCTATTATGTCAGTCAAAGACCAATGTTTCCACCAAAATTAGATTTTAGCTTTAAATTATATATCCTAAATATTAGGGTACCTGAAGATGGAACCGATATATTTCTCCGAAACGCCAGTAACCACGCACAAGACTGCATGTAACTGCAACCCAAAATCCATATTTTATATTTTAACCGCTGTGATAACCTCAGATGTCATACAAATGTATGACATGTTAGTTGCGTTAAGAGTTCAGATGGAAATCATCATCATCATCAACAACAACAACTACTTTTGAGAACCAGACTTCAGCCATTTTGATTCAAGATGGCAGCTTTTACTTTCCAGTAAACAATGTGAGTCTTACGTATTCCTAAAACTTTAAAGACTCACAAGAGAGATTTGAAGGGTTATTAATCTTAATTTTCACTTAAATTATAATTTAAATTTAACAAACAAAATTATATAACTAAAAATTTTTGTATTGAAGCTTCGAGTTTTATATATATATATATTATCACCTTTCGGGGTGAGGTCTGGCCATTAAAAGTTTCGTATTTTTGATTAATTCAAAAATAAGCAATTTTCCAAAATCATATTATAATAAATTACACGATTTATATTAAGAAACCTTATTACACTAGATTACACTGGCTGACTTTCGAGTACTCTAATTTGTTATGAATACTTTAAATTAATGGTTCCAGACGTGCCCCAAAATCACCTGTCCGAATAGTGGGTTCGACTACTGATATTTTGCGTTATAATTTTTTTTTCATAAATTTATATTCTCACTTTGTCTTAATAGTCGTGTTTAACATTTAAAACATTTTATTTTCACAATTCTGATGTAATGAAACTTCCAACAAGAACACGACACAAATACAAATAGAAATTGTAATAAATGTCGTCTTTCGTGTGACGTATGATACAAGCCCCTTAATTTTCAGTCGCTGTAGTGAATGGTCCTTCTTCGTCTTATGTTCTTTGAATGACATCAGAAACTTCAAACGCGCGCACTTTAAATGCCCCAAACGCCCTGAACCAGCAGCGATCCCCTGTATTGATCTCCGTTTCACTACAATGTGTGCCATATTGACTCCTACGGGCGGAATTGTTGACCATTTGCGTAACAGATTTGTTAGAGCTCGTAACAAACGGTACAACACTTTTGATATAGCAACGATTCGTATTTGTTATAAAATACTCACTATTAGTTTTGAATCCAAATCAAATTTCTGTCGTTCCAAAATTAATCTACTATAAAATTCGTGATTTGTCGTCAAGAAATGACGTCATTGTTATTAAATACTCGCTATTAGTTTTGAATCCAAATCAAATTTCTGTCGTTCCAAAATTAATCTACTATAAAATTCGTGATTTGTCGTCAAGAAATGACGTCATTGTTATTAAATACTCGCTATTAATTTTGAATCCAATTCAAATTTCTGTCGTTCCAAAAATAAAATAGAAATAATTATCTTTTACTGAAATATAATTTTTAATTTATGTTTATTTAATATATTTTAAATGTGTAACCAATTGTTATAAGATCGACTGATCTGCTGTGTTTTGCATTTACGTGTATACAAATCCTTTTACAGGGTGTTTTATTATTGACGAATGTAAGAAAAGTACTTTAGAGTGCGTATTGATTCTAAGTGCTAGCATCCCACCTGTATGGTAATTCGAAGGCTCTTCAGAGAGGAAGCATGCTGGTTGTTGATTGTAAGGAAGCTGATACTCGTGAGTTGGATAAGAGCTGTTATGATGATACACTTGATTACGATGTTGGAGTCCACGACATTCCATATAGTTGCAATAATCCATTCTGATATTTAATTTTAAGTTCACCTTTCACTATTTAATATGATACTCGGTGATTTATATTCTATACGAAACATCTGTTCTTTCAAACTTTTATACGGAGAAAACTTTGGTACAGTTAACAATATTTTTTTAAAGGTTTTTAAACAATTTACTATTCTAAAGGTCCGGAAATTAGATTAATAAAAGTATAGTTTCCAAACTTAGTTTCTTTTTTATAATTCAGTTGCAAGCACTGTTCACTTTTGTACGTAATAACACTGAAATATATATTTTTTTTACGTGAGTTTACAGTCTAATAATTTGTTTTTAGACGAATATTTTCATGAGTTTATAACTCGTGTTCACAAAACATAAAAGAATTAACAATTAATTCATCTGTTTTTAAGCAAAATCGAGTAACACTTTGCCATAGACTCTTCTCGAACCTGACAAATCTGACGATAGGTTTTATCGAACGCTCGAAGGAATGAATATCCTTCCTCGCGAACTTGGAAAAAGCGTGTTTGCAACACTGCGCGGAGGAGCTCCGTGGTATACCGGCGAGTAACGCTGGCTGGCTGGCTTGCTTGCTGGATAGTACAGGAGGATAGCAGGTCAGCCGACGGCAACACACACCACCATCCACGACCAAATCAATACCTTGACGGGCGGGTGGGTCGGTGAACAAGGGGAAGAGAGGAGGCTCTGGACTTGCCTACAGCCTAATGTACCCCCACTACCAGAGTACTATTACTATATATTCTATAATCCATACTATCTACAATGTTAACATGGAAACTTTTACCACGAATAGAACTGGTATTAATTTTCTTAAGTATTATTTCACTGCATTAAAAATATCTCATAATATTACAGCCACCAACAAGAATTTTATAAACCGGTAATATTTTAAGACGCTGACTGTATCACATAAACTAATTTTTATAATAGGATAAACATTAAAATTAAGGGTTTTAAAAGTATATTTATCCTACACGTCTATATTTTTGAAAGTTTTCGAAACAATGAGAGAAATTTCGACATACAAATAGCTCAATGACAGGAAAACAATAATGTATATATATATATACATATAGTCTGTGTGCGTAGTGTTCATTGTTTGCACGGAGTATAAATTTTTGTAACAATTGTACCAAAGCTCAGCGACGAGATATTTTCTTTGTATACGTGACGACTAAGGGCCACGGTGGTCTAGCGGTTAGAACGCTGGCCTTGTAATCCTGGGGTCTCGGGTTCGATTCCCGGCGGTGCCCGAATTTATAACTTGTGTTGGGCAAGGCCGTGGTCTAGGCAACACGGAGTTTTCCTCCGTGGCATCCCAACAATTACTCCATTCACACACAGAAGAAGGCAATGGCAAACCACTGCTGGATCATCTGCCAAGAACGTATATGAAAAGGTCCCAGTCCGAGAAAAGGATGGAAGAAGGATCCTGTTCATATGGACCTGACCTGTCGTCAAACACTAAATAATAATAAGATGAGGTGGTCTAGCGGTTAGAACGCTGGCCTTGTAATCCTGGAGTCTCGGGTTCGATTCCCGGCGGTGCCCGAATTTATAACTTGTGTTGGGCAAGGCCGTGGTCTAGGCAGAACACTAAATAAATAAGGTTCTGATGGCAGTTTTATTATAAATGCCGTCGGAAGGTTATTCGAACGTAAGAGAAAGGAGTTAATATTTCAAATTTCTTTTCTATAAAAATTAGTATCCAAACATAACTTACGTTTGGGCAAAATTTAGGAATGGGCTCTTAACCAGAATTATGTTTTTGTTGTTTTTTTTTTATTTAAAACGCACAGATGTAAAGTAGGTAAATCCCGTCCTGTCAGGAAAGCCACTTCTAGCAAACGAAGTAACAGCTACTGAAATCACCTGCTACGCTGTGACGTATTTCGGAAGCGTTTTTAAAATACGCCACTGATCACACAAAGCGAACTGTGCGAATATCTATATACTTGTGACGGCGTCAAAGAAATAAGAAATGCACGCAAACGTTTGATAAGAAATATTTTGATAATTTTATCAAGGGAATTTTTGTCCGTCAATTGGCTATACTGGAGTAATCTCCTGTCTTCTGACTGTCTTCTGAGGGTGTGTTTGTAAGAAGAATTCGGCCTAAAATTCAAAATTTGTACGAAATTAAACAAACCCACACGTCAGACTGAAAGTAAACATTATATATTGACTTTGGATATGAACTTTATTTTAATATTTAAGTAAGCTTTAATTTGGTTCTGTATTTTTTATATTTAAAAACAAATTATATCAGCTTAACGTTGTAAGAGAAAAATGTAAGCACGTATAGCAACTTTTTACAAATAATTTTTTTTGCCATTAATTTAGCAGTAATTGAATAACGCTCCCCACGGTAACGTCTTTTTGGCGTGTAAACTTTTTTATAAGTACGAGTTCCTTGGGATACGAAAAATTATTTTGGAGGTATTTAAAAAAAGTTTGTGAAACACCGACCAAGACTGAGGATTGGTCGTAGGTGTAAAAAAAATCTTCCGAAATTACAAAAGCTTTTTGAATTCGACGGATTTTTTTTTAAATTACCCAGACAGCGTCTGGAGGACATGGGAATTTGTACTTTCTGGTGTTATCAATTTATACGTAGTCATTAAGAACGCACTGGTTTCAAGGAAAATGAATCACAGTCTAAACATAACTTACGTTGCCCAATTAAGATACTTATAAAAGGGAAAGCGACTTTTTTGACATAACAAAGAAAACACAAACTGCGTCTTGTGAAGTGACTGCTTCTATAACATAAAATCCTTTTGTGTCCTGAGGTTCCTTTTTGCGCTCTGTCTGGTCTGCTTTGGTTACTAGGAGACTGTATATGATTTTTTTTAACTCAAAGACCTATCGACGTCAATCGATGTTTCGTCGCCAGGTTACATTACGAACAATTACAAAGTTTAAGCAAGAACTTAACGTTCGACGTCACATATTTCTGGTACAAATTTCACAAAGTATATTTTATTTGAAAAACACAAAAATAATAATAAAAAAATCTCATAATATAATTATAACCATTTACCTGAAGAAGGAAGAAAAAACTTCCGAAACGTCATGTATACCAAATATGGTTTACTTTAAGAAATTGGCGGTGTCCAGTATAACATTTATACAGAGTGGTCGAAAAGTCACGCAGACTTACGAATATTGTACGGATCAGAGGTTTAGAAAAAAGTAGGAACTTCTGATTCAAACTTTTATTAAGTTCGGACTTTAATTTTCCGCTATGTATTTACACTAGAGTTGTAATATGGAGGCTGGACATGTTTACCTCTTTGAAAGAGAAGTTTGGAGGAAAAAAAAACAGAAAATATTAATTAACGAATGTAAGGTGGAAATGTTTTAATTAATATGAACAGAAAGATCTCTTGAAACACTAAAGCCTACGAACCGCAACCGCGCAAACGAATATTTCAAACAGAAATTAATTCCCAACACCCACATTACAGCATAACTTACGTCTCCACAGAATTTAAGATCGTCATTTATCATTTCCAACATAAATGTAATTAAATAAAAAATAACAACCATTTCAACTCCTTTAATCTCCGATTCTCGAAATCGGTTCAACAAACGTTGAGGAATTTACTGACCAGCTACGCGACTATTAGCTTCTCAAGGACGATGTTCCATGAATTGAGGTCAAAAACCCAAAACCAAACTACCTTGTTTCCTTGTTTTCAAATTGAACCCATATATTTGACAAAATACATGGACCATGGGCAAGGCCGTGGTCTAGGCAACACGGAGTTTTCCTCCGTGGCATCCCAACAATTACTCCATTCACACACAGAAGAAGGCAATGGCAAACCACTTCTGGATCATCTGCCAAGAACGTATATGAACAGGTCCCAATCCG